AAAATTTGCAACAGGTCAATACAACATTGTCTTTGTAATAAAGCATGTAGCCTTTCAAACAAGAATCAATTTTGACTTCTTTCAAACTAAGTTTGGAAAGTAATTCTTTTACTTGGTAAAAGTCTTTTAGGATTAAGTTAGGTTAGGGACTAAGCTCACTAATTAATGTATTTCATTGATCAAATGGGCTCTAACTTTAATTGCCTTCTGACTTAAAGCTTAACATTCTTACTACTAATGATAACTCTGAATGCACATACTCATCCTATAATAGTTTGTTTGCTGCCTCTAAAAGACTATAAAAACCTTACAGCCTCTCCATTAGGTTCTTGTTCAACTTCAAAATCATAAAAAGTTCTAAATTTGAGACCACCAATATCATAAACCATTTTTTTATAATGACTATTACTTTCTTCCTAACTCACGTAACCTATATCCTCAAAGAATTGCAATATACTTTAACTCCCTCCAACATAACTTATTCCAAACTGATTTTTCACATTAACTACTTCCTATGTTCAGTCCATATCTAATAATCAAGTTTAAATCCAAATTTATACAAATCATACCTAATTGAATCAATATTCAAAAACTTTCTATACTTGTACTTAGAACATGAAAACCTAACTTTCTTGTAAGTAATGAATTGTTGCGAATTACAACACATAAATTTCTCAACAAACTCATACAATTCAAGTTTTATTCCCTTTAGCCTGGGTGCAACCTAGTATACATCCATGAATGGTTCCAAGAAACATCTTGATCAACAACTATATAAACTTAGTACAAGTACACAATATTGTATCAACTTTTTATTTTACATTAATTAAAATTCTAATGTAAATTCTAGCAAAATCTCCCTTAATTTATGAACATTTCCTTACGTATATTAACATCTAATACAAAAATATAATATATATTATATAAAAATATATTAATAAATAAATCATAAACATATATATTACAATCCTAAACTATTTTAGAGTGCATTCTCTTGTATCTCTACAACATGCATGTTCTACAATCTTCGCAAGTACAAACAATCCAACAACAAATAATAATCAAGTTTAGAGAAGAATCTCTACACCCATTCTCCAAGTCATATAATCTCCAATCTTACAACTATATCTTAGAAATCATAAGTCTCGATGTTACATAAAAAAATTAAAAAACTAAACTAATTAGAAGTTAGAGTATCGTGTTAAGAACACAATAACGCAAATTATTTTTTAAATAAATGCTCCAACTACTTGCAATGGCCAAAAAACTAAACATGCTAGAGAAAGAGGAATTGAGTATGTGCACTCAGAGTTATCATTTAAAGTTATAATAGAATTGCATAATATAATACTATTAAGTAATGTGCGAAACATATCAAAACTATACATCCTCATACTTCTCCTCCTCTTCCTCCTTATATTTTATATTTAAGCAAAGTCTTAAAACTTAAAATTAAATTATTTAAAATTATTCTTCTAAGGCAATGCATATCTACAGAAAGAAAAGGACAATTTTATTTGTAATGCCCCAAATTTTAGTAATATTAATTATTATTGATATTTATATATACGTGTGTGTGATTGGATATGGAAATTTCACAAAACGCGGGCTGAATTGAGGATTGATGTGCTCGACTGTTCAAAAGCTAGTAAGTATCTGGTGCAGGGTGTTCTTGCTACAGCGAGAATCCTCTCGCTGTAGCGAGAAGGCTTTGGGAGGAAAGGGCGAACTGTAGCCTTCTCGCTACAGTGAGACTGTCTCGCTGTGGCGAGAAAACGACAAAGGAGAGTGAATTTCTGGGTGCAGTTTCGCTGTAGTGAGATTCTGCAGAAACCAGGATGCAGTTTCGTCTGAGATTTTTGTTGTGGAAACAGAGGATGTCGTTGCAGCGAGACATGCCTCGTTGCAGCGAGACATACCTCGCTGCAGCGAGAATGTCTCACTGTAACGAAAGTGTCGCTATCTAAAGGGTTTTAAAAGGGGTTCTAGGGTTTGAGAATTCATTGCTCAAAATCCCTTCGATTCTCTTGACCCAAAACCCTTTTTCACCGATTATATTGCCTCCAAAGTCATTTGAAAGCTATATTGAAGGTTGAATTTGTGTGGGGGACGCTTGGAGGTGAGTTTTAAACGGTTAGGGTTTTTGTTTTCATCCCATTCCTCTGTTTTTGGTGATTCTGGAGTTCTTATAGAATTCTTCCATGTGTTTAGGCCGAAAACCGTGTGGGGAGCACTTTCGAGGTTGAATCCGTGTGTGGGTCTTCGATCCAAGGTAAGGGGGGACTCTACCCTACTCTTTATATGTGATTTACCGTTATTTAGTTGAATATTGTGATGTGGCCGAGCTAGAGGATAGGAAATTGCTGTGAAATATGATGTAGGTCATGTGCCGTGATATGTGAATATTATGTGTGTGGATCAGGGAATATGTGGTTGATGGAATTTTGCTATGAATTGCAATGTGTGAACAAATGTGGACCCAAGTGTCATATAACATATTCAAATGTGGGCTATGTGTCATGTATTAGGGGTAGTTGTGGGCTATGTGTCATGTGTTGTGAAATGAATGTGGGCCTAGTGCTGTGTATATGAATGCAATGTGGGTTGTGTGCCATGTGTAAGCATGATTAATGCATGCGTGAATAGAATATGTGTGAATGGGTGTGTTAGCGTCATTGTAATGTGCTGTGAATGGTTCAGCGATATACTTGGGGTGTGGAAGATGAAAACGGTAGAAATACCTTGGGGAAAGGAGAGTGGTGGTGACACCGATTGTGGAACAGATGCACTACGAGCCATATACTCTCTTCCTGACTAGACCTCTGACCACTACCTTTGTTGAGCGACTCGTGACCGCCCACATGGTAACCGTGAGACAGGAGTAACCAGCGACCATTCATGGTGTGAATCTGTGATCACAGTGCTATGGTGAGCGTAGCTGGCGTGCATATGCACGGGTTTATTATTTGTTGTTTATGACTGTGAAATGTTGTTGGTGACGTAAGTGCATCGGTGTGAAATTAAAAATGGACTGCGTAATGATGATGCTTGTAATATGTCTATGTAAATGTGTTAAAATAAATTGGAGGTGAGGCTCTATGAGTAGCTGATAACCACGTCGCAATGGTATCAAACAAACTAGATTTTTTTTAAAATTTTGCAATAGAAGGAGTAAACCTAGGTCATCTCACAAGGACATAAGATACATTTTATTTTTGGTTCCATCATGTAATTTCATATTAGCTTAGGGATGGATTGTTTTGAATTAAATTGTAAACAACAGAAAAGAAAAGAACAAAGAATAATTCTAACGAAACGAAATATAAAGTTCAACCAAATCAAGATCTCAATCACTACAATGCAATTCTCATTGTTACACGAATACAATTCCAACGAATTTCCAATCAACACTAATTCAATACGACATTAATAACCCGAAATCTAAATCTAGATTATGAATTTCATCAAAACAAGAACTGCAATCACAAACCCAATGCTCTAACGAAATTCAGAAAAATTGATTTATTGAATTATGTGAATTCATTTATTTCAAATCTGAAATTCTTATTCTCTATTTAGAATGCAAACAAAAATTCAATATCATGAAAAACGTAATTATCCTAATCAGAAAAGAGGAGGAAGAGCGAGAATTCGATAGAACCTAACCCGAAACTCAAATGCGATGTAGTTTTTGAAACCTTGAACCGATTGATGGATTAGCCTTGCTTCATGATCATGCTTGCTTCAGCCAAAACTAGAAAATATGAAAAGATGGAAGGTAGAGAGACGAAAATAAAGGAAAGAATTTAAAATAAAGACTTTTTGAATTCTGAAAAATAATGAGCGGGAATAGAAAAACAAGGATTCATACATGGAGTCATACCCTCTATTTAAAGACAAAATAATTGGGCTTAATTAAGGCCCAATTCCCTAATGAGGTTCCTAAACACCTAACTAAGTAAAAGACAAAAATACAATCAAATTCTGAAAATTTCAATGCAGGGCCGCAACATTGTGATGCAATTTTGGACCTGAAGATGCTTTAACTGGGCTTTTTTCCCAACAGAGAAGTTGTAGATCTCTGTCTTATCTTTCCAGGGACACCAATTTTGTCCAATTCCGAGTAGTGTAGCTCCAGATATAATCTTTACAAGAAACTGTGTCAAAATAAGAAGTTATGGTGAGAATTAAGAAAGATTTATATTTAAGTCCTAAATTACTTACTAATACAAATCTAAACTAACACATCAAAATAATGCACTAATGAAGCTCAATTAAACCAAAAACATGGAGAGAAAGATGTACTAAAATGTGACTATCAGTAGCTATGTGTTTTAGTAGTGTAGAGTGCTCACCCTTACATTCATTTTTCAAGTAACCAAAACGATCAGCACCGAACTCAATAAAGGGATGGATGAAACTGCTATAGAGCTTAGGATATTATTTTGAAAATGTTGTATTTGAAATGGTCCTGTAGCAGTTAATTGATATAAATTTGTAACCCTTTCCTCCATTTTGAAATATTTTATGAAACCATGTGGTGAGAATTTTATTTAAATGAAAAATTTTAATATTCTCATTTTTGTGAAATTTATTATTTGGAAATTAAATTAAGCTGTTACAATTACAAGTTTATATCAATAATTTCTATAGAACCAATCCAATTACATTGAAATTTTAAAATAAAATATGTCTTATAGCAGTTTCATCTATCTCTTCACTAAGCCCGGTGCTGATCGTCTTGGTTACCTGAAAAATAAATGTAAGGGTGAGTACTCTACACTATCCAACACACACAAACATAGGGACTCACCTCACATACTCCACATGTATTTCTCACATAATCTATCTAATTACAGTCAATCACAAGCAACAGCTTCAAGCAATTCATTTCAATTTATAACCGGTGCGCTCACTACACCAACAATATTTCACACACACACGTGCGCTCACTACAAGTAGCCATGCTCACTGTGAAACTGTGATCACAGTTTCACATTATGGATGGTCGCCGGTTACCGCCGCATCATAAATACCACGTGTGCGCTCACGAGTCGCTCGGCAAAGGTGTTGGTCAGAGGTCTAGTCAAGAGAAGAATGTGTGGCTTGTGGTGCACCCACGCTCACTGTTAGTGTCAACACCACTCTCTCTTCCCTAAGGTATTTCTACCGTCTCCATCTTCCACACGTCTAGTGTATCGCTGAACCATTCATAGCATATTTACAATCGCATTTAATATGCCCTTTCACACACATTTTCAGCCACACACAGCATTTATATTCCTACACGGCACACATGCCCACATTCATTCACATTACATGGCATAGATGCCCACATTTTTTCACGTTACATTTAACGCACAACAATCCCATACACACAACATTTCAACATAATTTACATTCATCGATTTATTTCATCATACACATTATTCAACATTCATTACACTATACTCTATTTAATCTTTCCATCACAATCTCACATCACATTGCATTCAAACACAATAATTTCCATCAACACACAATTTCTACCTTCTATCTCAGCCACATTGGAATATTTAGCAAAATAAACTGTAATCAAAACACAATAAGATAGGATAAAGTCCCCCTTACCTCAAATGAACAAATTTCATCTCTAAAACACATGAAAAACTCCATGAGAAATCAAAGAGAACCTAGAAAACATATAAGAGGGTTAAAATTCGAAACCTTAACCATTAAAACTCACCTCCAAGCGTTCCCAACACGAATTCAACCTTCAATTTAGCTTACAAACTGCTTTGGAGGCAATTTAATCGGTGAAATAGGGTTTTGGGTCGAGAGAGTCAGAGAGATTTTGACGAGGGGAATGGGAAATGAATTTTCCAAACCTAAACCCCTTCAAATACCCCTCTGGTCACAACTCTCTCGCTACAGCGATACTGCACCCAGAATTTCACTCCAAACTGTTGCTCTCTCGCTGCAGCGATAAGGCGACAGTTTCACGCCTTTCTCCTAGGGCCCTCTCGCTACAACGAGACATCTCTCGCTGTAGCAAGAACACCCTCACCCTACACTTAACCTATTTTAAAGAGTTCAGTATAGTTAATCTCGATGCTCAATCAGCATCCACATTTATCATATATGCACACACACACACATAAGTGGAATTCCAAGATCCATTCACATTTACACATATATATATATATATATATAATAATTAATATTACAAAAAATTTGAGGCGTTCCATCATACTCATTCAAAGCACTTTGATATAAAGTATTTGTTTGTTAGAGAGAAAGTACTTGAGTTTCAGACTCGAATTGAGTACATTGCCACAGAGAGCATGTTGGCAAATCCACTAATCAAAGGATTAACTGTTGGAGCTTTTCAAAATCATGTAACTCATATGGGTTTAGTCAAGTCTTTTAATGTTATGAATTAGTGAGAACTTAATTTTGTATCTGCTCATTGACATTATAGTTTAGTTTTCTTTTTTTATGAGATATGTATTTTGTTGACAACACTTTAGTTGACATATCTTTTATGTTTTTTATGCTTAGACCTTTGTGGAAATGATATTTATGTTTCCTTTATCTATATTGTGATTGAAATATAAGTTATTTGTAGTGTGTGGTGAATATCCCTATCTGATATAATTGTATACTATTGAGAGCTTATTATTTCTTTAGTGATAATTAATGACTTGTTATGATGACATAGTTTGTGCACTTAGTAATTTAATGATGCGATCCAAGTGGGAGAAAGTTAGATTTTTTAACATTAATATTAATATTAATATCAATATATATATATATATATATATATATATATATATTAATTTGTGGATTATCATTATTAAATTATTATAGATATATTGTTATTAATTATGAAATAAAATAAATATGCATAGTTATTATTAATCGTATAGATTTTATGATTAGGCTCTTAGTGAGAATGACCCGTGATAGGTTGGGCCATTCTATGTGTCCAGTGAGACGTTCCTACTCTCATTTGATTAGGTTATAATTGTTATCTCATTGGACAGTTACTTGTGTGAGATAATAACAATAAAAGAAGAGAGTAGTACACACTCACTTGAGAAGAATGACTACTTATGGATTGTGCATTCTCATCAAGTACCCATTTAAGGCAATTATTTAATTATATATATTGTTGAAATTATATTGAGATGTTATGATGTGTGTTATGTATGATCAATGGTACCTTTATAATTTTACCTAATATTCTTCATGGTATGCTGAGCTCCTGCTAAGCATTTTGCCACTGAATTTAAATAGATATTGCCAAAAATGACTAATCAATAAGGGATCATGATCAGAGACAATGCTGCAAGGGAGGTCTTGTAACTTGCAAATCATGGAAACAAAAAGTTTTGCCACTTTGTAAGGAAGAGCACCTAAGTGAATCCCCTTGGAAAAGCGATCTACCATAACCAAAATAACTGTGTACTATCGTGAGTGGTTCTTTAGTATTGTACTTAGTTTGTTGGCAAGGGAGGGAATTGGAGACAAACTCACTAGAGATGACAATGGGTAAAGTATCCGATGGACACCCATAAAATTTACCCACAATTGGTAGGGTATTTACCTGTTACATGGTACGGGTATGGGTAAACACTAGCAAATTTTAATAGGGATAGGTGCGGTATGGGTATCTAAGTACCCACCCTGCTCCATACTTGCATATATATATATACTTGAACTTTATTCTATAACTATATATTTAATTTTTGAATTATTATACTACTTATGTGAAGTTATATAAGATTAATATAAAAATATATTTAATGATAAAGTAAACCAAAAAATTTATTTTGGTCTATGTTTTTTTTAAAAAAAAACTTATTTACTATTTTATATCATTTAATTAGGCTAATACAATTTAATTATTACACAATTGATATGAGATTGACTTTTTTTTAAAATATTATTTATATATGACACATATATAAACTATTTTTCACATAAATATTTCTGTTAATAAAATCATATTGATATTTAAATCATAAAATGAATGATAAATAATAAACATTTTGTAAATATTTTATAAATTTTACAATCACCTACTATTACAATAAGCTTATTATTTATTGATAATATTTAAATTTTATTTTTATATTTTAATTTAAGATAATATTTTCCTATGCAACATGTGCATTACAAGCACAACTATAATCTTTGAATCTAAATAATATTATTCTTACCATTTATTTACAATCGAAGAAGTTTTTGAAAAGATATAAAATATAAAAATATTATTAATTCTTATTTGTTAATTTTTTCTTCAGATAAAAAGATATAATTTTTTTTATATACACATATATTTCTTTATTATAAAATTTTATTATGACCATTTATTTTGTATTCAAATTTTTTATTTTAAAATTTATATATATTATAAATATTTAATTCATTAAAATAATTTTTCAAAATTTATATTTTTGACAAAATACTTTCGTATAGTACATGAGTTAAAAATACTAGTATTAATATATATATATATATATATATATTATATTATATTAATTAAATCTATTTTTTTATAATTTTAAATTCAAAAGTTAAAAAAAATATTTTATGTATCCAATTTTTGTTGTCGTTTAGTACTTGAATTTCTCTACCCTAACTCTACTACATTCTCAATGTCTGTCTCATCAAAACCTAACAATTATGAAAAGTTATTCATTAGAGTTAGTTGTCAACGCTGCCACAAAATGTCACTAAGTAATTCCACACGAAGGGTCACCCATTGTGTAGATCTAGTTCATTGTCGCTTTGATGTTGCCGATCAATCGAATCTCATACAAGATAGGGTCATCGCCCGACAAATAACTTGTGTGTTTAGTTTCACTTATTGTTTCTAAGAATTTTAGTTTAGAAAATTATTGTATTAAGATACATTTAACACTTGTGATATTTGAATATTTGTCTTTTATCTATGTTCGTACTTTGTTCGACAACTACTTATTGAATTTTTATATTATTATGCTACTTATGTGAAGTTATATAAATATATTCTTTTTTATAAAAAAAAATTTCTAAAACAAGCGCGGATAATAGGTACAAGATGGGTATGCGGGTATCCAGAGAGTACTGGTATAGATATTAATATTCATATCTACACAAGTATAGGGTTAAGGATGGATATTTTTTTAAATGCGAGTATGGAGATGGATACTATAGTACCCTACCCATACATTACCTATAGTCATCCTTAAAACTCAAGCACATTAGAACGCATAAAAGACCAACAAAAAAAACTCACTAATTCGCTTCAGGTCTTAGCAACCCCTGCATTAGGGATGGCAATGGGTAAAGTACCCGATGGGCACCTGCAAAATTTACCCACAATGGGTAGGGTATTTACCCGCTATACGGGTATGGGTATCTAAGTACCCACCCCACCCCATACCCGTATATATATATATATATATATATATGTGTGTGTGTGTGTGTGTGTGTGTGTGCGCGCGCTTGAACTTTATTCTACAGTTATGTATTAAATTTTTGTATTATTATATTACTTATGTGAAGTTATATAAGATTAATGTAAAAATATATTTAATAATAAAGTAAACCCAAAAATTTATTTTGGTTTATATTTTTAATAAAAAAATTTATTTACTATTTTATATCATTTAATTAGGCTAATACAATTTAATTATTACATAGTTAATATGAGATTGACCTTTTTTAAAATATTATTTATATATAACACACATAAAATATTTTTTACACAAATATTTTTGTTAATAAAATCATATTAATGTTTAAATCATAAAGTGAATGATAAATAATAAATATATTGTAAATATTTTATAAATTTTACAATCACCTACTATTACCGTAAACTTATTATTTATTAATAATATTTAAATTTTATTTTTTATATTTTAATTTAAAATAATATTTTTCTATGCAACATATGTATTACAAGCACAACTATAATCTATTGAATCTAAATAATATTATTCTTACTATTTATTCACGTTCAAAAAAGTTTTTGAAAAACCATAAATATAAAAAATTATTGTTAATTTTTATTTGTTAATCTTTTTCAGATAAAAAAGTATAATTTTTTTAATATACACGTATATTTCTTTATTATAAAATTTTATTGTCACTATT